GTCTCTTCCCCTACCGCACTGCGTCCCTCCCCCCGCCGCCGCTCTTCCTCGCGCCAGGTCCCCCCCCGGTAGACCCCCTCCCCCCTCCGGGTCCTGCCCCCTCAGGTGTGTCCCAGGTAGACGCAGTCGATCCTGTCGAGGTAGCTGTTGACTCTGGTGCTGCTAGGGGTGCTGAGCCTGCGGGTGCGGGGTCTGGGGGTACTGAGCCTGGGGGTGCTGACTCTGGGGGTGCTGAGACTGGGGGTGCTGAGTCTGGGGGTGCTGAGACTGGGGGTGCTGAGTCTGGGGGTGCTGAGCCTGGGGTTGCTGAGCCTGGGGGTGCTGAGCCTGGGGGTGCGGAGCCTGGGGGTGCTGAGCCCGCTCGTGTGGCGTCTGGAGGGACTGGGCCTGGAGGTCCTTCGGGTGCTTCGTCCCGGCGAGAGCCCCTCTCTCCACAGGAGCTGCGCGAGTGGTTTGCTCGGCGCTGGAAACGTGCTGCTGGAGCTGGAGGTGCTGCCGGTGTTGGAGGCTCTACTGCTGCTGAGGGTGCTGGTGCCGCGGGTCCCAGAGGTGCTCGTCCTGAGGGTCCTGGAGCTGCTGAGTCTGCGGGTGCTCCTGGTGCTGGAGCTGGTGGTGCTGCTGGCGTCGGTGCTGCTGGTGCTGCTGGAGCTGGAGCTGCTGCGTCTTCTGGTGGTCCTAGTGGAGCTGGAGCTGCTGGGGGTGTTGGTGCTGGAGGTGCTACTGGCGCTGGTGCTTCTGAGGGTGCTGGAGGTGCTGGAGTTGGCGCTGCTGGAGCTGGGGGTGCTACGGGTGCTGGTGCTGTTCCTGCTGGTTCTAGTGGCGCTGCGCGGCCGCGGCCGTACTTCGTTCCGCTCCTTGAGCAGGTTCTTGGACTTCCGTCCTCTCTTGGTCCTGCTCCTCTCTTAGAGTGTCCGCCGCCTGTCCAGTCTGAGTCACAGTTACAGCCAGCCTCCCCACTGCCTGCTCCTTCTCCCTACACTGGTCCTACTGGAGGTCTTGCTGAGCGTCGTGAGCCTGAGTCTCGTCCTGCGTCGCCTGTCCGTGCTGCTCGCACTAGTGGTCGTGGTTCGCGTCAGCATCCTCCCCCTGTCCCCGGCACGCACCGGATGTCTCTGCGTCCTTCCACTGCTCCACTGCGTGCCCCTTTGCCTTCTCCTCCTGAGTCCTCTCTTCCTGCTCTTGCTGACCCAGAGTCGGACTTCCTTCGTGCTGCCAGTCCTACTGTCACGCGTCTCCTTGCTACTGTCGTCACTGACCCTTCCTTTGAGTCCACTGCTGCGTCTGCCTTAGCTGCTGAGCTTGTCGACTTCGCTGCTCGCTGTCGTCTACACTACGCTGCTAGTCTTGTCGCTGAGTCTGAGTCTGCCTGTCCTCCGTCCATCGGGGGTGAGTGTGCCCTTGGCACGGACGTCCTTGAGGACAGGCAGGAGGAGTTCCGGTGTCTTGCTGCTGCTTTACCTCATCTCGTGTCCATGCTGCTGGCCCCTGAGGGAGACCCGGATGCACCAGACATCCCGACTCCGCGCTCTTACGCGAAGGCGATAGAGGGTCCCTACTCCTCTCAGTGGCAGGCAGCCATGGACGCAGAGATGGCTTCCTGGAAGTCCACAGGCACCTACGTCGACGAGGTTCCCCCACCTGGGGCGAACATCGTCAGTGGCATGTGGATTTTCAGGGTGAAGCGGCCCCCGGGTTCTCCGCCTGTCTTCAAGGCGCGTTACGTGGCTCGTGGCTTCAGTCAGCGGCAGGGAGTTGACTACTTTCAGACCTTCTCTCCCACCCCGAAGATGACCACTCTTCGGGTGCTGCTGCACATAGCCGCTCAGCGCGACTACGAGCTTCACTCTCTTGACTTCAGCACTGCTTTCCTACAGGGCAGCCTGCACGATGAGATCTGGCTGCGCCGCCCACCTGGCTTCAATGGGACTTTTCCTCCTGGCACCCAGTGGAGCCTCCGGCGGCCAGTCTACGGTCTCCGCCAGGCACCTCGTGAGTGGCACGACACACTGAGGACTACACTTGCGGCTCTTGGGTTTGCATCTTCTACTGCCGACCCGTCGCTGTTTCTGCGCACCGACACCTCTTTGCCGCTGTTCTACATCCTCGTGTACGTCGACGACTTGGTCTTTGCCACAGCTGAAACTGCTGGACTCGCCCACGTGAAGTCCGAGCTGCAGAAGAGACACACGTGCACAGACCTGGGTGAACTGCGCAGCTACCTTGGCTTGCAGATCACCCGGGACAGAGCACAGCGCACCATTACCCTGACTCAGTCACACATGGTGCAGCAGGTCCTTCAGCGCTTCGGCTTCACGTACTCCTCGCCACAGGCCACTCCTCTGTCTACTCGCCACTCGCTCTCAGCTCTGCCTTCGGATGAGTCCGTAGAGCCGAGTGGCCCGTACCCAGAGCTTGTTGGCTGCCTCATGTACCTGATGACCTGCACACGACCTGACCTTGCATACCCTCTTAGCATTCTGGCACGCTATGTTGCTCCTGGTAGACACCTCCCTGAGCACATGGCTGCAGCGAAGAGGGTGTTGCGCTACTTGTGCAGTACGTCGGGCATGGGGCTAGTGCTTGGAGGGCGGAGTCCAGTGGTCCTCACTGGTCATGCAGACGCGTCTTGGGTTGACGACTTGGCAACGCAGCGGTCGTCACAGGGTTACACCTTCAGCCTTGGTTCCGGTTCTGTTTCGTGGCGGTCTACCCGTTCTTCTTCTGATCTCAGCTCCAGCTGTGAGGCTGAGATCTACGCAGGGGCCATGGCTGCACAGGAGTTACGCTGGCTCACCTATCTGCTGACTGACCTCGGAGAGCCGCCTCGTTCTCCTCCAGTTCTGTATGTAGACAACAAGGCCATGCTGGCCTTGTGTCGTGAGCACAGACTAGAGCACAGAACGAAGCACATTGCTCTTCGCTACTTCCTTGCTCGTGAGCTGCAGCAGCGTGGTCAGCTGCGACTTGCTTACGTGGCCTCTCAGGCCAACACTGCTGATATCTTCACCAAGGCACTCGCGCCTTGTGATCATCAGCGCTTCTGTACTCTGTTAGGTCTTGTACCTACTTTGGCTCACTTGCTCACTTCTTGACCTTGCTTGTACTTTGACCTATATATACTTGCACTTGCATGTTTAGCTTTATATATATATCTCTGCATGTGAACTGGCCTTGTGGCTCTTGAACTTGTGCTCAGAATGTGTGGTGACATTGTGATCCACCCTGAGCTTGCTGTGCTTTGCTGGACTGGTCTTGTGACCCCTTGTTCTCCCCCACTTTGCCTATGGGGGTGTGTCAAACTTATATGCTATAGTCTTTCTAGGCTGTAGTGGGGTAGACAGTATGGGGTACAGCTTTCTAGGGTTTCATATTTGTACCCAACTCATTTCCTAGTTCATCATTCATTCCTCATTTCTTCACATTACCACCAATTTGATTTGACCCATCGGGAATGACACCAGACGCGCGAGCAGAAGGCTGACACACGTTATCCAGCAGCTCCAATGCAGTAACTGTCGCATTTCTGCCGCTTCTTCTCTGAAATCGAGATCGATCACGATAGGAAGAAGATGCTCGATCGTCCTCAGGCTGAAGGGAGGCACGTCCGCCACTGCTCCGTGTAACCATTCTTGGAGTGGGAGGTCTTCCAGCTGCAGTAGAAACACAGTCACTCGCCATAGCAGAAACTCTTACGTTTAATACGTCGGTGATAAAAGTTCTCATATGCCTAGTCCTAGGCATGGGAGAGAAAGAGGTTTGGAGAGTGGTAAGCAAATCAAGATACCCGTATGAAAAATGCAAATGAGACTAGGTGGCAGGTCTGAGAGTCCTGCCGATGTCAATGAGTTTGTCTCCTTTGCAGCAAAATCTTGTACTAGTCGAATCACAATCTTCAGATTTTACATATTGCGATCCTCTCATATTCCTAGCCACTAAACCAATGGGATAAAAGGGGCTTGTTTTAAATGCCGGTCCGTGCACCCTGTTACGATATGAAGATGTATGACAAGGCATTCCTGTATGCTGCATGAGCCGACTCTACCGAGTACGAAGTCAAGGAGTCAGAAGAGTTTAAGCGACGCAGCAACCGTCTGACCAAGACCAATGCAGGCAAAAACATTTGAAGTGAAAAGAGCGGGAACAGGTTTGAAACGGGTTCCCGCGCCGCACGGTTTGAATTCGCTGCAATAAGGAATGTACCCCTTAGAGTACGTAAATAGTCTAGGTCTTTTCGTAACCCCTTGTATTCTTATATTAATCCGATGTATGCATGCTATTATTATCTCAGTCATTTTACATTCACTCTGGCCTGAGTTCACTTTCTCCGCTGCAACACTATCCTGTTATCAACCCTGAGCGATCCTTGGCTAAGTCCCACTTGGGATTGTAACACACCCAAACCCTCCTAGGCTAACATTTTAGAAGGGGGTTATAGCATATTAGCCTGGGGGGTTTAGGTGCACGGACCCAGGCCCCACGATATCAGCGAAAAACATCCTGATTACCCTGAATTCATGATGCATATTTGTATTTGCCCTGTGATTTCATAATAGTAAAGATTTTTACCCTGAGCTCTCAGGATGATATTATATGAAATGCCCTGGAAAATCAGGATGGCTGTGGTGTTCTTCCCTGTAGCGTCAGGATAAATGTCGAGGCTTGCCCTGACACGTTTTTTTTTTTTTTTTTTTTTTTTTTTTTTTTTTTTTTTTTTTTTTTTTTTTTTTTGTTGGGGGGGGGGGGGGGGGGGGCAGGGCTGACGTTTCAAATTTGGGTACACTGATGGCTCTAAATTTTTTATTTTATTTAACACTGAGGGGGGTTCGGCCAGATTTTGACCACTCTGATGGCTCAGTCTCCAGGGAACTCCTTCACTGCTGTCCCAGGGTTGGCTAACTTCGATCAGAGTCTTGTTGCTACAATTTTTTTTTACTACACATGCACTGTCAACAATGCCCGGGGGGGTCTGCAATACACAGCATAGAACAGCACTAAGAATCCTACTCAGTCGGCTTGTCTATCTCATACATCTCCTCCTCTCCCCCCTCCTCCTCGCCATCCGACAGGAAGGGGTTATCTTCGTCCTCGGAGTAATCTTGGGGCGGCGACTGCTCGATTTCCTGGTCCATCTCCATGTTGTCGTCACGGTCGTCGTCTGACTCAGCGAACTCCTCCTCGCCTGCCGGCTCGTTGGGTTCCTCCTCCTCCTCCGGCTCCTTCTCCTTGCGCTTCCGATCGTCTGAAGAGAACAAGACGCTCTGCGCGGGACGCCTCTTCTTGAGGCTCTTCCAGGTATCGAGCACCCCAGGCCAGTCCATCTCGTACTGCAGCAGTGAGATCTGCATCAGCTCCCCGAGGCGCGCGTTGCAGAGTGACCCACGGATCCACGACTTGATCACGTTCTGGCGCGAGAACCCCCGCTCGCACTCCACCGTGGATAGAGGCAGGACTGCAAGAGCCTGCCACAGCAGCAGCAGGTTGGGCCATCGCCTGCCAAGACGAGGAGCAGCAGTTTTGCAGGTGCGTTAGTTTGCAACTAAAAACAACGGCAAACGCATACTCGGTCAACATACCTCTTGGCATCGCCGCTCCCCATGAAGTTCGCCAATCCCTGCGCAAATGACTCGTCCTCGTGGTGCGCCTCCATGATTGGGCACCAGGTCGCCAGCTCCTGCGAGGCTTTCTTGAGCTCAAACCCAGGGAGCTTGTTATTGAACAGGGCGCTGCAGCCTGTCAGCCAGTCCTGGCACTTGCGATCTCGCGCGTGCTTGCTTTTCGGCCACTTTGACGCGCGAAACAGCTTCGTTGGACCCATCCCCCACAGGTCGTCCGGGCGAAACAGGAGACGGTCGACAACGTCCTTTGCGAATTTGCGGCATAGCTTCACGCACGCCTTGTAGCCGCTCTTGTACTTGTGGTCCTTCAGCTTCCTCTCGTGCAGGATGTACGAGTGGTTGATCGGGCGGCCTTCCGAATCCGCGCCTCGAACTTTGACCGTCTGGCCCGACTTCTTCCCATACAGCTTCAGGAATTTCGGGAGCCAACCGTTGCCAGACCCACCGAAGTCACTGTTCTTGTCAAGGTACCTGTGCTCGATGTTGCCCGTGATGGACTCGACGGTCTTTGCCACCTCGGTAACATCGACCTGTAACAACAACAACAACAACAGAGTATCAGTATTGGATTTCACGAAAGCCAAAACCTTTCATACAACGCTGCCTCCGCTTTTGAAACGACCGGTTCAGATCGTTAAGGTCGCCGAGGATGTCTGCGAGGAAGAAGAGGCAGAACTGGAACTTGTACGATGTAACTGTCTCGTACAAGTCGTGCTCCTTCTCGTGGAAGAGAATAATCGCAGCGCCCAGCACCTTGCATAGTCGCTTCACCGCGTCGCCCCGGGACAGCCAGCGCACGCTGTGAATTCCCTGGACCTCGAGGTTCGTGTTGTAAATGACGCGCTGCAGGTACTTGAACCGCTGGCTCCAGTGGCTGGAGGCGCCAAGGTGTTCAGCAAGCGTGCGGACCACCGTGTCCACCATCGCGAGGTCCAGATTTGAAGTGGCAGCGTCCTTCACCGCCAATGCCTCTCTGCCGATCAGATGCACAAGAGTTAGCGGTTGTATGGGGCATCATGACTAACAAGTAGAAACAGTGGAGGACGGAGCAAAAAACGTTTGCAACACCTGTGGGCGATGCAGTGAGTAGACACAAGATGCGGCACATGTTCCCGCAGCCTTGTCACGAGCCCGTTGTCGCATCCAATCATTACAGACGCGCCGTCCGTGCTGATGCCCACCACTCGGTTGAGGTCAATGTTGGCAGTATGCAAGTGGTTCAGGAGCACCGACAGGAGAGAAGCTGCATCACACCGCTCGACCGTCAGAAGAGTCAGATACTCGGTTACGACACGACGGTTGCGCAGGAACGTGATGTACACTATCATGTGCTTCCCGCGAGTCCGGTCGGTGCTCTCGTCTGTGCTCAAACCGAGGAAGGGCGAAGAGGCGATGTGCTGCATCTGCGTCTGAGTGAGCCAGGTGCTGAGGCAGTGCACCATCTGCTGGAAACCATATCTGCAAATGGGTAATGACAAACAAAGACATTAGTCGTAGGTGGGGCGTATGTCGTTAAACAACAGTCGTAAAAATACATGCCATACCGCGTGAGGTACACCCCGTAGGCTTGCTTTGGGATGTCGGGGGTGTCCTGCTCAGCGAGATGCCTCATCAGCTTCGGGAACATGCTGATGGGCGTGTCCTCCTGGCAGAGAAACTGCACCGACCGCATCAGCCGGATAGCTCGCCGACCCTCCACGTCCGCGTTCATGAAGCGGTCGATTTCCGTCTGGCCGTTCGAAATCGCCTCCGCAATCTCCGCCTGACGCTGCATTGCCTCCTTGTGGACCGATGTGTGCTCGTGGATACGCATCGTCTGCGTCTGCAGGTCTCGGCCGCCGTCACCAGGACCTGAGTACTTCGTTGTCTCTTTGCCGAATGAGAGACACACACTGCACTTCACACTAGGACCACCATCTTTAGCGCGAAGCAAGAGCAGCCACGGGAATTTCGGCAACCACTGCGTGTTGTACTTGACACTTGCCTCTATGTACTTCTGCTCCATCAGCTCAGCCCTGGACAGAACGGGGGAGTTGGTGTCCGCACGTACAGGTATCTCCTCTGGTTCCTCAGGTTCGGGCTCCTCCTCCTCGGGTGCACTAGGTGGTGGCACGCGCACACCGCCGAAGGTCAACGTGCTCTGCTGTAGCTTGCCTCGCAGTACAAACGTGCGCGCCTTCTTAGCCGTACGACCCTCGGACGCGGGAGCGGCATCGTTGCAGCCGCTGCTACCAACTGCAGAGGGAGGCGCTTTACTGGACGACGCGATGGCGGGAAGGAGAGTGAACGGCGCTGGGGAAGGCGCGGGATTGGGGGCCGGCTGCGGCTCCTTGCTGGACGATGGGTTCACGTCGGTATTAACAACTGCAGCGGTAACAAGAGGTTCTGGTGTGACCGGAGCTACGCTACGTCGAAGGAAATCTAGGCCGCTATCCCTATGATCGGGTGGCTTCTCCGGGGCGGTCTCAGGCGAGTCCTCCGCGGCAGGAAGGGAAGCCATGGCGAGAGGAAGAGAAGAAACATCACTAGGGCGACTGGAAACAAGAAGTGAAAATGAGAGACCCCCTTCATCTTCAAAGAACCAGCTGCAGCAGAAGGAACGTAAACCACGCCGCCACGAAAAGGGCTCACGAAGTGAGGTGGGGTGAGCAGACTGAATCGGGCTTTGCATTCTTGGCCAAATTCATCTCAGCCATGCCACCACACATTCCTGTTGTGCCATGCCACCAATCGCGTTCCACCCATCACATTACGTGAGGGTGGCGCGGTGGGCGTGCCTGCAGAGTCATAATTGTACTTGGCATGCTGGCCGCATCACGCCGCACATGGCTGCCTTGCTGTGCACAGCGCACCAACAGATTTTGTCAGCATTACGTGGTTTACCTCCCACGCGAACATGAAGACAACCACGGGGGGTGGGGAAATCATTACGCGTGGGGGGGGGGGGGGGGGGGGGGTACTTTCGGGAAAAATCGAGGAAGCTTCCTCTCGATAGACCGGCATACAGGGACCACAGACCGTATACTCTGTAGGGCCAGACTCAAAAAACGACTAAGTCTGATGCCTATTACACTATATCAGGGGCCTACAAACAATAACACTGAGGCTCTCAGGGATGAAATATTGATTACACTGGAAGTACAATGTTCAGAAGTTCACTAGCCTGATTGATCAGACTAATCAGACTATTTAGTCTGATAGCGTCAGCCCTGGGGGGGGGGGGGGGGGGGGGGGGAGGGTGGTCCCGTTTCTCGGGAATTTGTTCCCCGAAAAAAATTCCCCCGCTATTGCTTTCCCCGTGTATTTTCCCGCCTCCGCGACCCCTTGCACTTCCGACCCTGCGCAACGCACAACGCATCAGATGGGGGAAACAAGGAACAAGGAACAATCTGAAACAGGAAACAGGGCGCTGATCAGCTCAGCACTAGGCGTGCGTCTCTCTGCTCTGCTCAGCAGAGTCTGGTCTGGACTGTGCTGAAATCTGAACCCTGAACACATGTTTTTTTGCCTTGATCGGTGAGGATTAATATTTGTAGAAGCCCTGAACATACAGGAAGGCTTTGAAAATTTGCCCTGACAAATCATTGTCAGAGGTCCACTGGTGATCCCCGATTGATCCTAGGGAAGGGTTATAGGCACGTTGGCCTGGGGGGTTATGGGCGCACTGACTCGCTACTTAACAAGCCCTTTTATCCCAGTGGTTAGTGGCTGAGATTCTGACATGGTATCAGAGCAAAGGTCTCGGGTTCGTATCCCGGTGCATGCACTTCGCGCATCCTGGTGCGGGGGGGGTGTCAGAGGTCCACTGGTGATCCCCGATTGATCCTAGGGAAGGGTTACAGGCACGTTGGCCTGGGGGGTTATGGGCGCACTGACTCGCTACTTAACAAGCCCTTTTATCCCAGTGGTTAGTGGCTGAGATTCTGACATGGTATCAGAGCAAAGGTCTCGGGTTCGTATCCCGGTGCATGCACTTCGCGCATCCTGGTGCGGGGGGGTGTCAGAGGTCCACTGGTGATCCCCGATTGATCCTAGGGAAGGGTTACAGGCACGTTGGCCTGGGGGGTTATGGGCGCACTGACTCGCTACTTAACAAGCCCTTTTATCCCAGTGGTTAGTGGCTGGGATTCTGACAATCATTGCATTTTTTAAGATTTTAGAAAAGTGCCCTGAGGCCTTAGGGTGCCCCAATTCCTAGCACGGGCCCTGCACGGACCTGCATTTGAAACACACTTTTTTATCCTAGTGGTCTAGTGACTGGGATTCTGACAGATCCTTCAGTTACTGGGTTGCTATTTGTAACTGTAGCGACAGTTACGAGTGTTGCAATTCCTCGCAACCGTTCAGTCCAGGTCAGTCAACAATCGCAACTGTTGACCTGCGACTGTTGACCTGTGTGCCCTATATGGGCTAATGCAACAGTGGTACATGTTGTTGCTTCGATAGGAGCAGGTATGATACTGCTGCATCTTTGGGAGTGCTGATGGTAATTTCCTCTTCTTCCAACTGTTCCCAAGGAACTTGCCTTGTCTAGCAGTCTAGGTTGAGCTACCAATATGCCTTGAATGTGATGCTTAAAGAGTTGTGCTTTTGTGGCCTTGTATTATCTTGAGCATAGTGAAGTTTTACTTTGCTGAGTGAATTCCAGCATATTGTTCATAGCTATGAAGTAGCAGTACAGCAATCCACTGCGCGCAGGTGCTTGGCTGCCTCACCCGTCTCGACAATGGGGTCTTGCCCTGGAATCGAGGGCGGTCTGTTGGCTTTCTCTTGTGCTTTTGTTTCGCGCTTCCGCATACAGTGACATTGATTGCAGCCAAACCCATAGCATTCTCACATTGGAGCCTTCGTTCATGTGCACACTGGATCGAGTTCCTCCCATTTGTGTCACACTGGCCTTGGCGCTCCGATTGCAACCCTGGGCTGGGGTTGCGGGCGTCTCGGTCAATAGCCAGCCCAACCTCGCCCCTGCGCGAGACGACACTAAACAGAAAAATCCAGGGGCCAATTCAAGACGCTCGATAACCAGCCCCCAGCAATCAGGCATCGCATCCAACAGTCGGCCAGCAGGTGCGCGTCCTAGCCTGGATTTGCGTCAGCCCTGCCGCTTCGTGTCTACCCTTGGCCTACCAAGCAAGCTTACTTATGAACAGCGAGTTGAGTCGAATGCAGACCTCCTCTTCGTTCTAAAGCGATTGCGGCATTAACAGCACAGCGTGCATTAACAGCACTTACAACGAGGCTCGATCAACCGTGACCCTTTTTGTACATAGCTTGTGACGGTCTTCCTTGGACTGGCGTTGGCTCGGAATAGTTTTTTTTTATCTACCAACTCCACGGGCGTATTGCGCTATGTCTGCTTTGTAGTCAGCTCAAGCAAGCTCCGACCTTCAAGAAATCGCTAGAATCGGCATGACCCGGACACAAAACATGGGATGCACCTTAAAGCATCAAGCAAGACCTGTCCTTTGGCTTTTCATCGTGCTCATCACTCAGTCGCTCAATAACGTCGATGCAATTGTGGATGGCTTGAGTCATCTCGGGAGGCAATTGCGAGCAAATAATGGTGGCAACGGCGGCAGAAGTGATGGGAGGCTTCCAACAAAACGTGAGACAATGATTTCTCTCTTCCTGTCTCTCTCGTTTCCTAGACCGCACATTTAAAATTCGATCAGGCTTTAAGGTCAATAACTGTTCTTCGTGCCTCGTCTGTTTTCCTATCTCCGTTCCTCTACCTTGCAGTGTACATCATCCGCTTTCGCGCGCTCCCTCCAGTAGTCGCGTACACGGGCTCCCTTATGGGCTTCCCCTCCACGGCTCCGCGCAACGGCTACTCCGCCGCAACAGCCGCTACCCCGGAAGAATTTGCGGACGATATTACGGCGAGGTTAACTGGCTTGACGGGCACGGCGGTCAGCTCTGACGTGCGTGACGATGGCGAGGCTCCAGCAGGGCGGCTAGACTCGGGGAAAGAGCACGTGCGGGCGTATGCGCAGCACCTGGACCGCATGCACGACACCGTGCTCGCAGAGGCCGGCGTGCAGTCCCTCACGCACAAGCTTTACAGCTTCAGATACGTCACCAATGGCGTCGCCGTACGGCTAACCCTGCGGCAAGCGGCGTTACTGAAGCGCCACCCAGCCGTTGGCTCGCTCGTGGAGTCAAAAATCCTTCATGCGCGTACGACGTTCACTCCATCGTTTCTTGGGTTAAGGGACGGGGTATGGGACCGTCGGCCCATCCCTGCATCCACACCTGGGGCACTGCAATGGCTCGCGGCGAGAGGTGCCAGGGGGGCAGACGGCGATGGGGGCACTCGGGCGAGAGCAGTGCGCGAAGCACGAAAAGCTGCGTCGGAAGCGCGCACCGCGAGCGCGGAACCCTCGCAAGAAACGGGCGGTGTGGAGCAGTGGGTGGGAGTGGAAACAGTGGACGGGGTGATGGGCGCGGAGGTTGGGCAGCGGCTCAACAGCAGCACATCCCACGAGGGTGCATCCAGCGGTAAGGGAAGTGCCGACAAGGATGCGCGAACGTATGGGGTGCGTGCCGGCAGAAGACGGGGTGGGAAGCGAGTAGATACTGGTCTGCGCGGAGAGAATGTGATCATAGGCGTTATCGACACAGGCGCGTGGCCAGAGAACCCCGCCTTCACGGGGAAGGTTCTTCCGCATTACGGGCGCATCCCTCGGCGGTGGCGCGGGTCTTGCACGGTCACCAAGGACTGGCCGAGCGGCGCGTGCAGCCGCAAGCTGATCGGCGCGAAGGCGTTCTTCAAGAGCATGCAAGACGACGTGGACTGGAGCGTCGAGTACCCGTCAGCGCGCGACGTGCACGGCCACGGCACGCACACGGCCAGCACAGCCGCCGGCAACGACGGGCGCACGGCGGTGCTGCGAGGCGTGCGGTTCGGATCAGAAAGCGGCATGGCGCCGAGAGCAAGGATCGCCGTGTACAAGGTGCGATGCTGCGAGACGACTGATGGAGGGTTGTGGAGAGATGAGGACAGGGAGGGAAGGTCACGTGGCAGTGTGGAAAGGGGCAGTAGCAAGTGCGGTGCCCGTACAATGCTTCAGTAGGTTCGCTGTCGCTCAGCGCCCTTTCTCCCCCTCCCCCTCTTCAGACGTTATGGACGTTGAAAGACGGCGGTGCGGTGAGCGCGGAGGCGGACATCGTGGCGGCGATCGAGGCGGCGGTGGCGGACGGCGTGGACGTGCTGACCATGTCGCTGGGCGGCCAGGCGTCGCTCTTCGACGTCGACCAGCTCGCCTTCCTGCATGCCGCGCAGGTGACTCCTCCCACGCCTCCCACGCCCGCGCATGTGCCAGCTCTGTGTGTGCTACTCCTCACCATGGGCTCGCGTGCCAGTTTCTAGCCCCGCCCCTTGGTCAACCGTATCTTCCCCCCTGTGCTGCGCGTCTCAGGCCGGTGTGTTCGTGTCGGTGCCAGCGGGCAACAGCGGGGCGGCCATCGAGAAGCAGTACTTCACATGCACGCTGGACCACCCCGCGCCCTGGTACACCACCGTCGCTGCCAGGTCAGTCCGCCGCTCCCTACCCTTGCACTACTTCTGTTTCTACTACCCAACCGGGCTTATTCCCTAACCCACGTATCCTTCCAACCCCTTCGTCCTTTCCCTCCCTCCCTGCTCCTATCCCTCCAACTCCAACTCGT